TGGCTGGTGCCAGAGGTTGGTGTCCAAACTCAGGTAAAGCTAGGATTTTGAATAATGTTTTTTCTAGGCATAAAAAACAAGCAAAAAAATCTCTCACTTGTAAGATTAGTATAACACAATCTTTCTACCCACTCATTCCTCCAAACTGATTCTGTACAATACTAAATATATTTTGGTGTTATGGTAAAAACAAGTATTACTCCATTCCAATAAGTAAATATCTCTGTACAGTAGTAGAGAAGATCAGGTTGCTTATACATTTATATTTTATTTCATGTTAGTCATCTTTGAATATTTTTATTATTTTTTTTTTTTTAAATGTCATCTTCCTTTAGGATCATAGCTCTCCACAGGTTCCTGTTCTTTATCTGTGATTTGTCATGCATTATTGGGAAAGATAGTGGATTGATTTCCCATTGCTGTTTTTCACATTTTGGAATTCAGTGTTTTCCTTCTCTTAGATTGGTCGCCAGTCAAGGTTAGCAAACCCAGTCTACATTGCTATTTAAGCAATAGCTGATTGGCAGGAGGAAGAAGAAATGGATTCATACCCTTTTCTAAGAGCATTAGTATGAAAGTGAATGCAACAGACTAGCCTGGAATTTGAACTTGGCTTGCAGATTCCACTTTCTGCATTGGTATTTTAATCATTTAAAAAGCATAATTCTTTCTTCTTGCAACAATAGTTAATTGTATAGATAAAAATTCTACATATATAATATAGGCAGATCAATAAGTCTATAACATAATGTGAAAAAAAGATTTATTTTACACAAATGATTTTTCAATAAAATCTGTTATCAATGTGTACTTATGTTATATATGAATAAAGTGTTGCTGCCAACACTTTAGTTTGAACATAGATCACCAGTGAGCAAACACAGGTGATCCCATTATTGAATTAAGTAGACCATGTTACAACAGGGGTAATACATAAGTAGGAAGTGGTGTGACGTCCAATTGACTTCCATTTCTAGTCTATCCTCTATTACTATATGGACAGTTATTCTCTATTCACTTCAATACAGAGATTACTATTCGAGTGAGTATTATTGAGCAAGTACTATTAGTGGGAGTGTTATTCAAAGGCATCTGACAACAGCATTGATCAACAGTGTACTGTAGTTGTATCTGCAATTACAAAATCTCTACTCCAACAAGCATTACTAAAGTGACAACAAGTATTCATTGGCATTACCAAAGTGGCAACGAGTGTTCATTGACATTACAAAAACTCAATTCAAGATTTCTTTATTAATAACAGGTTTTAAATAAATTCACCTCAAGCAAGGTGATAATACCACTAAGATGCAAGGGGGCTACTGAGAGTGAAAGAGTATGAGAAAACTTTAAAAGGAAGCAGAAACCCAATCCTAAACAGGAAACAAGGGCCAAACCCATCTACTTTAAATTTATCAACTTAGATGGGTGGTCCAGTTCATAACACTGATATAGTGTAAAACCAACCTCTGACCTCCACAAAGCCATCTGCACTTAGATTTTATTTCCATTGAAAATGTGCATCTAAGAATAAAAATTAACAAAAGTATAAAAAATTATCAATGATGTAAGCACATTTTTCAAAGCATGACATTTGTAAATAAAAGGTAAATGCAGACAACTCTGCAAAAGATAGGGATCAACTTGACACTGTATCAATATTATGAACACCTACATTAAACAGTGATGATTTCAGATCAACATTCAGCTAATAATTGTGTCAGGCTTATTGATCTAATTTCATGTGACAGAGAAAGTTGTGTGTGTGTGTAAACCAGATGTCACTAATCTTCATTTTAAAGCTTTATTGTGAATCTAAACAAAGTATGTTTTTATTTTAATGCTATATCCCTTCAGGACATAAGTGATCATGGCTCTCCACAAATTTGTTCTTTACTTTATATGACATGCTATAACTTCTTGGGAAAGATAGTGGAGTGGTTTTCCCATTATCTTCACTACAGTTTTGAATTCAGTTCTTCTAGACTGGCTGCTATCCAAATCTATTTTCCCATTTAACTCCTATCTGTGCAAAGAAGAGGTTCATTCCCATATAGAATTAGAGCAAAGTAACTGTAACTGCTAGGCTGGCACTTGAGCTCTAATCAAGGATTCCAATTTTTTGCACTGATAACCCTCACACTACCCATTTATCAAGTCAGAGTATTAAGAGATAAAGAAAAAGTCCTGAGAAACAAACAAGAATGCTGATCTTCTACATGGCAGTGAATGCTGGACAATTTTCTCTCAGGTGTATAAGAGATTTGAAGTGGCAGAGGTGGTTCTACTAATGAAAGTTGTGTCTAAGGAAGTTTTAAGGAGCATTGGACGAATACTGAAATCGAAAGGGCGTAGCACATAAAAGAAGACGTTGATTAGTCTGTAGCTTAATGTTGAAAAAACGGCATTTATTTTACTGAACAAATATTTAGTTTCCAACATCATCTCTTTTGGCAATACACTTAACTCAAGACTTTTCCATTAATCATATACAGAATAAACATTAAACAGTAAAAATTTCAAATCAAAATTTAGCTAATGACTATGAAGTCACCAATTCAACCTCATGTTTCATTTCTTAAGATAGTTTTCAATTTTTGTTTATATTTTGCACACAAAAGTAAAAAATAAATTGAAATTTAGGCTTAGTGATCAAAATATTGATTAAATTTTCTCTCTGAGATGAAGGCAATATAATGTGGAGCAACCATGCTGAGATTCTATTTTTAAATATAGTGTCATGTTCCGTGTTGAGTAACTCAACTTTTTAACCAAATTTTACAAATTTCCCCCAAAATGTACTTCTGTTAATTAAAAAAACATCACGGATTTGAATGTTGATCATTTATGTTTTTAATTTTTCAAAAATTCTGATCATAGTGAATAAATGTCACTTCAGCAGTTGAATTTGTTTTAGCTTTCTTTCTTATTTGTATTAATCAATATTTCAAACTTTTTGATTTAATTGTTTATTTAACTAGGCAGCTGCATTTAGTGAATAAAAGTATTTTCTTTTTTTAATTAATTATTGGCCTTCTTTGAAGATTTTCTCTCTGCCATGAATTCTTAGTATGCCAGGCAATAATTCAAAACTTGGGTTGAAGCAAGTTATAATAACAGAACAATTTTTTTTTTTTTTTCATACTGTATTAGTGAATTATTATGGCACAGTCAGTCAAGTTATGTGAAACTACTGTATAAGAGGGTGCTAAACGTTTTTTGGTTCAACCAATTTCCCAAAATCTGACCAATTTTTTTTTTTTTGTTTTGTTTTGTTTTTAGAATACTGTCTTTGTCACCGAAAACTTTTCAGCATTTCCTTGTATAGGCCTGTTTTTTTTTTTTTTTTTTTTTTTCCATGTTGCTTAAACCACACTGATATGAGTATTGGGATTGCTTAAGATTTAATTTATTATTTATGTCTTAGATTATTTAAATGTTGATTTCTAAAGTGAGAGTATCACTTGATTATCATTATTTTTATTTTTTAATTCTATAGGCATTCAAAACTGATCTGGTTATAGACAAAGCAAATGATATTGATTCAGCAAACATATTACTGCTTTAATAGAGGATGAAATTAACTTTGATATACTAAGATTTTTTTTTATTTAATATATGTAATTATTTGAATTATATTGCTGTAACAATTATTAGTATTAACAGTTATTAGTATGGAATTGGAAGGTGAGTTCCATCTGAGACTCTTGAGTTCAATGTTACACTAGCTTTCTTTAGGAAAGGCATGAATCCATCTTTTCTCTCCAGTTATGGCTTAAATAACAGGATAGGCTGAGTTTTCTAACTTTGGACAGCAATCAGTCTAGAAGGAGGATAACTCTAAATTTACTACTTGAGAAAACAATAAGAAACCACTTCTTCTTCTGCAGGAAGTCATGGTAGTTTGCAGATAATAAAAAAATATCTGTGGAGAGCTGTGATTGCTTGTCTTTTGAAGGGACATGCCATTTTTTAAAAAAATGAGGTTTGTGTATATTTAAATAAGTTGCTTATATTCAGTATTTTTTTTTTTTTTTTTCAGATATTGATAAACTCAACTCATTTAAAACAATAAAAATTAAATTTAACATTTTCTTAGAATTTTAATTTCATTTCACAAGGGAATATAAATAAATTGAAATTCTTGCTTTCATGATTAAAAGTAAAATTGTGTCACTTGAATAATTAATAATAATGAAAACGAAAACTAAACAGTGGATGTGAACACAGGAAATGGGTAATATATTTCAGCATTAGTGACAAAGTGTGACAAGTCATATTCCGGGTGACGTTCTACAGCTATCAACATATGAACTGCATGCTCTTGGTCATCACCTATGCATTTTGGCCAGTGATGAACATAGTGAAAATGATGTTTTGCGACTGAAAACTTGTTCTATCTAATAGTTTTATTAGGCTTCTTGGATTTGTTGCAATTTCCATGGAAAAGATTAGGAAGTTTTACTTTTGCAATGTCGCCTTGTATATGTTTCTTTTCAATTCATTCTGTTATTAATATGATAGCTTACAAATGTCACAAATGATGGCTTATTTTGTTGAGCCTTTGCTGTTATTAGGTTTTGCTTGTGAGTCTAAATATATTTTTTTCTGATTATATTTTTATCTATTTGTCTATTCAAGTACCAATATCCTCTAGTCCAGTTTTTTTTTTTTTAGTCTTTTCTATAATTAGCAGGCAAGATTCTTACTTTGTATTATTTAATCAACCACTATCATAATCAAAGACACTGCTGTCTAGCCATGCCAATGCAAGGGAGATTACTCTGGTTATCTCGCTGCCACTAGTGATATTAAAAGCTAAACATTAGACAAAAAAAAAAAAATACAAATACACTTTACTTAGTAAATAGTAAGATTATTGTATGTTTGCATTTAGTATTTTTCTATTATTAGTATATATTTTGTATTAAGATATAATCAAATTTTGTCTGTTTAGCCACCTAATATTGATTCACATAATTTTGAAATTTATTTTTCAGTGACGCTTGTCAGTTCTATCTTTATGTTTATCCTGTTTGTATCAGAATTGAATTATTATCTCACAAAAGAAGTTCATCCAGAATTGTTTGTAGACACATCACGAGGACACAAGCTTCTTATTCATGTTGACATCACTTTTCCTAGACTGGCTTGTTCATGTGAGTACTTTTTTCTTTTTTTTCTTTTCTCTATTTCTTCCTCATTTACTTATAATTTTTGAGGTGACATTGGAAACTTCCCCACTAAACTGTAACAATTTTTATATAGTTACTAAGGAAACATGCAATCTAGTATTATCCTGGTAGAATATTATGCCCTTGTAAATAATTATGGACACTTTACACTTTTTCTGCTTTCACTTTTTTTTTTTTTTTTTTTAACTTGTTCAAATCATTTGCTTTGCTCTCTAGAAAGAGCTCATCATAGTGGACTCCTTTTATATATTCTACCATATACAAAGCATCATCTTTGGGTGAAGAATAGCCTTTGTTATGGTTAATGGTGGCTCATTTCATTTGCCTGTAATCTCTTAGAATCTATCAAGTTGTAATGTAACCATATTTCATTGCTGGTCAGTTTGTTAAAAAAAAACAAAAAAAACAAACTTTTTTTTTTTAGTAAATTAAAGTAATTAATCCCACCTAGAAATGCAGCCCCAATCATTGGAATGGTTCTCAACCATTCTAGATATTAATCGAATAGGAAACATTCATCATTAAAAGAGATGTATACGAGAATGGGAATTGATATTCAAGCAAAGATCTTTGAAAAAGTACAGCATGTAATGTTAATGTTGAAAAAAAAAATAGTAGAAAAGCTGACAAATCCAACAAATGAAAGATTGATGAATTTCAAGAAATCCATATTAGCATGTGAAATAATTTATTCAGATTTTGTGTCGATCAAATGTTTTTATAGCTTAAGTTTTTGGGATTTATTTATATATAAAAAAAAAATGTTTGTTTACATTATAAAAGCAGGCAACATTCAAAAGAAGTTATTATCTATATTTTTATAAGCTGAAATCCACTAATATATTCATTATGTAAATATAAGTATTATTATAATCATTATTTTTAGGGGGTTCACATGTTTGAGTTTCTGTCCCTGTCACTTATTTTATTAAACAGTGAAATTAATAACAACCGGCCTAGATGGACAATCGAACCTGTTTCCCCTTATTCCATCAGAGAAACCAGCCCCAATAGCCAAAACATTCTGCTACAGAAAACCATCTTGACCGAACATGGTTTGAATTACCTATTTCAGGAACACACATCTCTCGTTAAGACTTCTATGAATATGTATCTGTTAGCTTCAGTTTCATATCAAAATGTAAACAATAGTAATCCAATACTTTCTTGTTACTATAAACAAAACTGAAGCTGGCAGATATAGATTTGTAGGAATCCAAATGTGAGATGTGCATTCCTTAAATAGGTAATTCAAACCTTGCTCTATCAAGACAGTCTTTCATGGTCAAATTGGTTTCCACCATAAGAGCAGTTTCCCCTGATGAAAGTGATAAAGTTTTTCTTTAGTAGGACATCTTGATCTAGGGTGTTATGGATTTCACTGCTTAATAAAATATAAAAAATACGGACAGCAACTCAAATACATGGAACCATTAAAAATAATGTTTATAGTAATGAGAAATGATATTAGATTAAGAAATCTATTTAAAAATCTATCTTAACAAATTTAAGATATAAGTTGATTAACCCTATCAGCTCAAAAGAGATTTCAGATGTTAAATTCCTGGAGTCCTGACAAAATTGTGGAAAAATCTAAATGTGATAGTAGCACAATTAATATATCTCAAAAGCTGTTGAAAATCAAGTTTCACAAGTTGATTTCATCTGTAGGTAAATTAAATTCTCTTACAGAGGATAAAAAAAATTTAACATTCTGTGGGATTACTAGTTGTGAAATATGGTTTTGGACATCTACAACGTTCTTGCATCTCTAGCTGATACATGATGTATGTTTAATATTGTGTATTAAAATACAGTGCTACCTGATTGTGTGATTATGGGTACATTCAGGCACCCACTGAACTGTAAGCATGTGAAACTTTAAGGTATATTTGGGTGATTTTAGCTTTAAAGGGTTAACATCAATTTTATTCAGAAAACATTGACTTACATAATAAATTCTGATATAGTGTACAAATCTTCAAAAAAAGGTTTTTTTTTTATGTGATGAAAATAACAAAATCTATATCAGTTAGGGTTAATCCAACCAAATTACATATTTATCTCAAATTTAAATTAACTTTTTCTGACTAACATATCAAGAGGGTTTTTTTTTTATCTTAGTTGTGTTACTTTTGTGTTTATTCTTACATTTTAGTTGATCCATTCTCCAGCCTTCCACATCTGTACAATTTATAAATAAGAGCTGGAGGTATTTTTCTTTCTTTTTTTTTTTAACCAGCAAAAGATAACATACAGAAAATGATGGCTAATATACTTATTGGTTTGGTCCATTCTGACTTCTCTCAAAATTAGGCAGTTTCATTCTTGTTAAATTTGAAAACTAATTTTTTATTGGCATCTTCACCTGTCCTCTTTATGTATGTATTTATTTATTAGTAGTATTAGTATTATTAGTATTATTATTAGTAGTATAATTTTTTTTTTTTTTTTTTTTTTAATAAAAAGTATTGTCACATCACCCTCTCGTTTTCTTAACCTGTTGAATCTATAGTAGCAGTTCAGTGTAACATGTCAGTGTACTAACACCAAAAGAATTGCACAGCTTAACATGTAAGTAGAATAAGGTTGTTCATATGAGAGACTTTGTAAATATTTGCCATTTACTGCTCTTCACTGCTTATTTGTTCTGTTACAAAGGCAGTTTGAAGTAATGGAGTTTACATAAATATCCAGGGATAGTGCGTGTTCTCAATCAAGGGGAAGAACTCATGTTTGCAAGAATTGCTTGTAAAAGAAAAAAAAAGTTTTTAGCTGTCTGTCTCCCTTTTTTTTCTTTTTTTTGCTGTTGCTGATTGTCGGCATTCATTATAGATTGTATTTAGATTCACATTAAATAATTTGTTATTTTTATTTAGTAAGGGAGTCAAAAGATTGAAATACTTAAGGTTTCTGCATTTGTGGTAATTTTTCAATTGTTTTGCATAGTCCTCAGTACAGATGCAATGGATGCTTCTGGTGAACAGCAGATAGATGTAGAACACAATCTTTACAAACGTCGATTGGATCTTCAAGAAAATCCCATTACAGATGCTGTTGAAAAACATG